AGCAGTTCCTCTTTAAATAGTCAGTCATTACTTATTTTTGCTGTTGAACAAAACATGGGGTGGAATTCACATTACCAGAAAAATTGTTAATCTCTTGCAACAGATCAGCCATATTTAGCAGTTGCAGTTCCTATTTTCAGCTAGTTCAACAGAATTAGTTAATAACTATTTGAAGAGTATTTTACTTGTAGGCAGAGAACAGCAGCAATGTACTGTTTTGATGTTATAAATGAATGTGTACCTTTTAAGTCACTTAATTATGAAATTATTAGTAAAAGCAATGAGAACTTACCAAAAAGAGAACCAGAATATTATTGTTTTAGCACCTAGGAGGAAGCACAGAGTAAAAAACAAAAACAACCTAGAAATTAATAATATTGCTATTATCAAATTAAAAATATTAACTGAACAATTTTGGAAAATATATCAAAGTAGAAAGAAATGATTAAAGGACAACTATGGTTAGATGTTAGTCACCAATCTTTTATTTTTATTATTCTTCTTAGTTGTAATCATATTCTCTATACAAGTTTGTACCCTGCTTTTGAAAATTAATATTTAAATGAAAAAAATTTTTTAATTAAAAAAATAAAAACTATGATGGCTTTTGTAAACAGGAAAAAAAAGAAGTCAGTATGTTTAAGAAAATAAATAAATAAAATAAATGAAAAATAGCCAGCATTTTGGCATTTCTCCATTCATTAACTTGTTAGGTAACTCATAGCTTAAAAAACATGTCTCAAAAACTCTGCACTGCAGAAAATACTAAAAGCACATATAAAAGCAAAGTGAGAATAAATAGGACATCAAGTTATTGAAATTTTCTGAAGTGTATGGTGATTGCTTAGGCCATCGTGCAGCAAAATATATAATTATCTGACTATCTGATTCACTTGGCCATGGGGGCCTAGCCCTAAAGGTAGTTCAGTTGCAAAAGCACATTTTGGAGCTTGAATTGCCTGAATTTTCTTACTACCTTAATTTTATGTGAATGTATGTAAGGTTTATAACTGTACACACATACACACAGGGAACTGAGTAAACACAGTGACAACCCCAAGTTTAGCCCAAGACCACCAGGAACACCCCTGCAGTTGAACGGGAGAGCACAGGCCATGGGAAGTCAGGGGGAAGTCATGGGAAGTCAGGGGAAGTCTTACTAGATGGAGGATGTTGGGAGGAAGCTTTGGAGGGTAGGGCTCTGGTTGGGTGACTTGGGGAGGGTCTAAGGATGCAGGGATCCACTCTAGTTTGGGTGCTGTTAGAAAGTGGTGTCCCAATAAATCTCCTCTACAGGGAGCGGGGAGCTGGGGTGAGGATGAAGCTGGAATTAGTAAAGAAGTAGCAGTCACTCATTTCAGCGAACAGATGAGGTGTTCAGTATTTTGTAGGTGGCAGAGTGACCTGTTTTTGTCTGTGCTTTGCCCAAATCATGAAGTGGCCTTGCTCTGTCCTCATTTTATTGTGGTCTCAGGACAGCCTTGTCTGAGGCGGGTGTTCTGGGAGATTTGTTTAAGATACTGAGAGAGTCACCATGATCCAGCTGGGAGCCCCAGGCCAGCTTCTGAATGTCTGGGGCTGCTCTTCTTTCTTTCTCAATAGCTTCAGTCATTCTTGTTGTTCTATAACTGGCAGATCTCACAGTTTTATATGTGGGTATTTGCATACACAATATGCAACCTTTTGCAACAAGTAGGATCCTGTTTTGGGTTGGGTTGGATAAGAGAGTGAATATAAAGGAAATATTCTCCCCAGAAAGAATGGTTCAGTACTACTGCTTGGTCTCTTTTCTAAATAGTTGGCCCTTTTGAGAGCTGATGCCTTTCTCCTCCCCATATGATTCTCCAGTACCGTGTTGCCTTCCCTGTTGTCCCTGGATGAGCATTTGGCAACAAGACAAAAACACAAGGCAACAATTCTTTCTTAGGATGAAAGTGATGATAAACATGGATTTTCATGCTTATTTTGTTTTGAAAGAAGAATTCTCATAAGTGTTTAATAATCTATTAGAGAAAGAGAAATCACTACCCTTAGTTCAAGCGCTCTCTGTTCTGGTCACCACTAAGCACTGGTAGAGGTCACTGGACTTGGAACTGTTTTTAAAAATTTTCCCCAGTTCCTTTTATTTTTCCACTAGAAAATGAACATTTCTTATTTCTGGCATTTAGAAGAGTTTCTGTGTTTCTCTACTCAGAGGTGTTAATGTTGCTGTTCCCTTCTTATTCCTTGAAGAACGACCTGCTTGTCTCTTTGTGTGTTAGTATAACTAGTATAAAAATTAATTTATGGAATATTTTATGATATACTAGATGTAATCACTTTGTTCTTGTTTATAAAACTTAGGAATGACACAGGCTACACTGACTGTTACCATAACTGCCTATCTATCGACATACATGTTTATTCAAAAATATTTGTGGAGCATATGCTATGTGCCCATACAGCTTTGTCCTAGGCATTGGGACACTAGCGAAGGAGGGAGGGAAGGTTAAGAGCCCAGTTTCTGGGTTGGAATTCCTGCTCTGCCACTTGCTGGTTGTGTGTGTTGGGGAATTAGTTGATCTCTCTAAACTTTACATTCTTCCTCTGTAAAGCGTGGGGATCATACCGCTGCTTCCCCTTAAGACTTTTGGGAGGACTGAAAGAGTCAGAGTTACATGTTCAGCGCAGTACTTGTCACAGTTGGTATGCAGTGAAAGGCATCATTATTTTTTGAGGATAAACTGGTGAATTATTAGATGCTGTCCTTCCTCAAGGAACTGACTGAAAATCAGGCTCACTCCTTAGTGAGGTAACTGAGAAGACTGGAGGCATCTCATTCATGGGGAGGATGTTTGGAGACAGGAAGAGGAGTGCAATGAGAAGGTTTTGTCTCAGTGAGCCTGATAGATGATGAAATGTTGTCTAGGCGAAGTGGAGGGTGAGAGAAAAGGCAGAGGAATGAGGCTAGTTGAGAGGAGCGTGGTTCCGACATTAGGATCACAGTGTCAAGTGCTGGATGTGACAGAGGGCAGTTCCTCACGGCCAGACTGTGGTCAAGGTGGCGAGGGAGGGAGGCGGTAGAAACTGTGGCTGGAGGGGCAAGTGAGAACCAGATCTCACGGGCCATGTGTTCCAAGCTTAGTACCTTGGACTTTACCCTGAAGACAATAGGAATCTTGAGCCAGTCTCCAACATCACCACTGGTCCCCCTTCCAAGAAGGTACTTAAATAATTTTTTTAAGTGGATAAATGAAATTGCTTAGAGATGTTTGTTGCAGCGCATTTTTTTAAAAAAAGTTTTCATCCTTGGACCTAAATGTCAGAGAATGTATTATACTCTCATTCATAGGACATAGTGACAGTCATCCACATGCACCCTGGCCCCTTTTGATTTTTCTTGCCTTCTCATTCCTTATCCATCCCCAATCCCATTCCCCTCCCTTTTAAAGACACCCATTTCTTATGTGATACATGGCCTTAAATGTGCATATATCCTTCTAAAAGATATAATGTTGTTTTATGTGTGTTTTAAATTTACCTACATGGTTTTCTGCCATAAATCTCTTCCTACTTCTTTTTTTCCCTCTTGATATAAAGCATCCGTGCTGCTACGTGTGCATCTAGTTCATTGCGTGTACCTCTAGTTCATTGCTTCAAACTGCTGCATAGTCCATATATAGTATACATTGTAGCATCTTTTAGAATAACATTTTGAAATAATCTAAATATTGTACACTAAGGATTGGTCAAGTAACCTTGGTACATTAGCAATGTGAAATAGCATGTCTCCAATGACAGTTCTGGATGCCATGGGAAATGTGTTCATGGCAACGTTAAGGTACAAAAGCAGACAAAATTGTCTTTGCATTGTGAAAACAACCACATAAAAACACATGTTCAAACAGCCAACGGCTGGAAAGGATCAGAAAACGATGAAAAGAGCTCTAGAGCAATACCAATCTGCTGCCTGCCCCAGAGTTAGCATCTGGGTCCCCCTCATGGGAAACAGGACTGGTTGGTCCCCTCAACCAGAAAGGCTTCCTCTCTGCCAGGTGTGTCCTGCAGTCGACTTGAGCTGCATTTGTCTCCCCTCATGGGAAACAGGACTGAAATTAAAAAATCTTTTCAGAAGGCTGAGATAGATCTAGTGCCGCAGAATTTAACTCCCTTCAAGATAAAGCAAAAAAAGTTAAGTGCATTAAGAGTTATGTATATTCTCTTCCATATGTGCAAAAAAAAATAAAAAAGACACATAAACTTGTTTTTGAATGGAAAAATTCTGAAGAACAGACAAGAAACTGTTAACAGTGATTGCCTCTGGGGAGGGGGACTGGGGATCTGGGGTAGCAGGGAGTCATACTATTCTTAAGTATGAGACAAATATTTATTATCTTCTTTTCTAAAACCATGTACTATTAAAATTTTATTTTTAAAAGTTTAAATCCCGAAATTTCATGACTCTTTTAACTTTTTAAACATCGCTTTTAAAAGTCTTAATTTTTAACTCATTACAAATCAATGTCTTCCAAAACAACAAATGCACGTTTTGAGCCTCAAACTGTGCCCCTCTTTTTAGTAATGAGGACTAACCCCAATTTGAGGGCCGCTTTACATGCATTTTGTTGTGAATCACAAAGCACACCAGATCCTGACATTAATTCCAACGCAGAATGCAAATGATATAAAGAAACGTTGACAAGGAACGGTGGCATTAGGATTCCGATGTGATAGCTGTTGTCCTTAACGTGGATTTGCTCCAGGCTTTTTCCTCCCGCTAGGTGTGCGCGAGCGAGTCCGCCAGCCCTCAGAGGTGGCAGGCGTCATCCCTCCGGGAGCCCCACTCCGCAGAGACCCGGCCTCGGCCCGCTCTCCGCAGGGTGGGGCGTCCCTGGGCGGAGGGCCGCTGGGCGCGGTGACCGGTCGCCCCGAGACGGA